TGTCACAAATTTAGAGGATCATCATTTAGCCTGGAGAAATAAAAAAATAAAACTAGACCTGTCTTAGCTAATTATAGGCCAGATAACACCAATGAGTTAAACTGCAGGAATGTCTACAGAACGCAAAACATTATTATTTTAAATCTTTTTTTTTATTAAAATGTGTTATATTTGTTAAAGTGTTCATGAAAATAAAATGAACATTTGCTCTTAAATTTCCCATAATGCACCCGGAGCACTATATCTTACTGCCTGTGTAACTTAAGGACATCACCTCTCACCTGCTCCTCTACCTGGCGGCTCTCTAACAGGGGGTGGTGGCCTGTTGGCACCCTGCTGGGAGGGTGTAGGTGACGCTGGAGGAGGTGGAGGGGCAGGGCCTCTGGAAGGGGTGTGGCCCCCTGGTGAGGGGGCGGGCCTCTTGTTGCTGAGTGAGTTGTGGCGCTGTGGCAGCTCGGGTGCTGCCTCTCCACCTGGGCCGTTAGTGATGCGGTATGGTGGAGGGGGCGGGGCCAGAGAGGAGGACGACACAGGGTTTCCTCCCGAGGTAGGAGGGCGCCTGCTGTTGCTAGGAGATGGTGGGGGTTTGGAGGGCAGTGGAGGGGTGTTGTTGGGGGTGGGGGGAAGGGGCTTCTCTCTGTTGTAAGCGGAGGTGGGAGGGGAGGGGGCGTTACCTCTGCGACATAAGGGAGGGGGTGGAGGAGGGGCAGAGGAAGAGTGTTTCATGCCGGTGGAGGGGGATGAGGCTGTAGAGGAGGGGGAAGAGGGAGAAGGGGATGAAGACAGGTTGGGGAGGGAAGGACGCGGCATGCGAGATGTCTCCATGGGTGATGATGCCTGAGGGGAGGGGCTCTCTGCATCATCATGGCGATGGCTGGGAGGGCGGGGCGCAGCAGCCCGAGTGGAGGGAGAGCGACCGACGGCGCCATCTATGGAAAATATGGAAAGGTAACTTTACAAACATCTAAAACTTTATTAACACCCGTTTATTTTTATTTGTAAATTAAATAAAAATAAATAATAAAAATAAAAAATATCATTAAAATTTGACAAGATTTTTTATAAAAACAAACAAAAAAAATATGAAAACAAATAAAAACCAATCTGAAATTGAAAAAATACAAAGTGACAAAGTAGCAAATGACCTCTCACCTCCGACTGGCCTCAGTTTGGGAACTCCGCCTGTGAACAGGCCTCCGATTGGTGCAGCACAACCAGATGGACTGCCTGCTCCGCTTCCATTGGCTCCTGCAGCTGCTGCTCCACCTCCTTTCGGCTCTGAGAACCACAACCATCGGACAGATGAGTGAGGGCTCCGCCTCCTGAGGGTGTGACATCACTGCTTTACACCGACACCACAGCTACGACACTAACGTGACGATGGGATGGATTAGTGCGCGAGGTAGGATGCAGGTGAGGTCAGGAGACTGCCACAGGTGAGATGAGGTGAGATGAAGTGAGACTTTAAGTTTAAGTGTTTTACGCTCCCACGCAGCTCCGATGACATCATTGCCAGCACAACAAACAGTCGAAAACACATCGATTATAACCTATTACATCACAGTGACATCATCAGGGCTGCATCAGTCAGGAACAAACTGGAGACATTGTATCTGTCAGGTAGGGCGAAAGAGGAAGGAGTCACGTCACCACCATCAGACCAGACGTCATGATGACTGAAAACATGCTACAGGAAGTAGATGTAAAGTTGGTCTGAAGTGTGGCCACGCCCACCCATGAGATAAAATGTCTTTATTTCACCTTTACCTGAAGGCTCATTGTGCTTCTAAAGTTAGCACCGCCCCTTTTCCATGCTCATGAAGCCAGTGGGTTAACGAGGCGATGTTAGAACAAATAAATTCACCTCCAATCCTGCAGTTCCTCTACCGTCCAGTAGAGGCAGCAGTGAGTCAGAGTTTGCATTGTTAGGGGCGGGGCCTGAGTGTAAACCTCTCAGACACTGAAAGGAAAGCCTACTGACTTCAAAGCGAGGAAACAGGAAGTGGAAACGCTAACTCGAGTTGTAGCTGGTCTGAGCACACGGGTACAGGAAGCAGAGCAACCCTTCAGCAGTGAAAGCAGCAGGATGACCGAGCTGTGCAGCCCTCGGCAGGCTTCATGCTGTAGAGGAAGGTCAGAGGTGTCTGCCGCCCACTTGTCCCGCTGCAGGTTAACAAGGTGTGTCTGCGTACGAGCTAAAAGCTAACTGATCCCGCTGCACGCTCTCAGTTTCACTCCTGAAACATCCACCCGCTGTGGACACGTTCTGGGTTTCTACTTTACAGTCGAGACAAAATTTCTTTGCACACAGCTGTCGTTATAAAAATGTTCTGGAGAGGTTTCAGTCTGGTTTTAAAGCTCTGTCCAAGGGTTTTCCCTCATAGTGGTTCAGGACTTTCTCTGCGAGCTTTGGCTATTTCACGTCTTCTTCAGTTCCCCTTACTTGTGGTGTTCCTCAGAGTTCCATATTGGGCCCAATTTACTCTATTTATATGCTGCCTCTAGCCAACTTTCACATAACGAATATAACACTTGATTGATACGCTGATGACACTCAGACTGATGAGAAGCTGCTCTGCTCCAGTAAAAGCCTTCATCAGTGTCTGGATGGCCTCTAACTTCCTAAACGTTTCGTAGCAATCGCAGCACTTTAACTCTCGCCTGCAGTCTTCAGCCTTTTATTAAGTCGCACGTTAAAAATTTGGCGGTTATATTTGACAATAACTTCACCTTTAAAATACAGATTAGCTCAGTTGTACAAACTGAGGCTTTTATCCAAGGTGGGATCATTTTTATCTTTTGGACAGTTGTAACTTCTCATATGTTGCAGTTAGTCGGACCTGCCTTGTAAGACTGCAGTCGGTCCAGATTGCTGCAGCTCGTCTTCTGACACAAACTAAAAGACGTGAACATTTTCCCCGATGCTCGCTGTCTTCACTGGCTCCCTGTTCACATCAGAATTGATTTTAAAATTGTACTGTAGACTTAAAGCCCTGAACGGACAGGCTCCTGGGTGTTTAATCGGACCTCTTGCAGCCTTCTGCACCCGCTGGATCTCTTAGATCAAAGGATCTTTTGCTTTTAGCCGTACCCAGTTCGAGGCTGGTTCACGGAGGCGATCGAACGTTTGTGGTCGTGGCGCCTTAACTGTGGAATAATCTCCCCCCACACATCAGACAGGCTCCGACTGTCAATCTATGGTATTCACTGCCTTTTAATACACTTTGAGAGTTATTTGGTATTTCTGTTCAGCACTTTGGTCGACGTTGCTGTTGGAGTTAAATGTGCTACATAAATAACAACGACAATGATCCTGCTGATCGGTGTGTGATAGGGCGGCTTTCAGTCGCCCGACAGAGTCTACGCAGGAAACGGCGAGCACGGCTTTCAATGACACGTTATAGAGTTTTAGAAACATTCCTGTTCTGCAAACCAGCATCAGGCCAGGACATCAGCTCCACTGACAGGTGAGCGCTCAGCCGTGTCGCGTACGTGCGGTCGCGAGTGCGTCGATGGTTTGGGATGAAACTGTGGGTGGCGTGGACGGCAGACATTTACAGAGCAGGAACACACACAGCAAAGCAGAAAGCATCATCAGGTCATCAGCAGCTGTGCAGGAAGCTGCAGCATCTGTTTCAACAGCCGCTCCGTCACCTGCCCACCGAGCCCGCACGCCACCGCCGTGGTGCAACTTTAACCTGAAGTCTGAACTCGGCGGAGAAAGGAAGAGAAGTTAGAGCACAGACATGACGGAGGTTCAGGGTGAAGCCGACACAGACAGAACGGATCAGATGAGGAGAAACAGGAAAAGGTGGAACAGAAACAAACAGGAAGTCAGAGCCGGAGGGGACACGGCGTGTGTGTGTGGAGGTCAACTGTGAGCCCGATGACGGGCAGGAGTCACGGCCACTTTCAGAGCCGCCCGTCAAACAGACGACGAGCCGTCTACAGACGGAGGAGCAGCAGCAGAGCGATCGCTCCTCCAGTCTTTCAGCTCATGCAGTCCGTTTCAGCCTGCTTCTACAAACTGACCGAGCGCGCGTCAGAGGCTGCTGCCGGCCGTCTCTGCCTGTACAGCTGTTCACACCTCGCCGCCACCGAGGGTGCGCAGAAGAAGAGTCGAAGCTCTGACGCTCTCTCCAATCCCAACACTGATACCAGATTAATCACCTGCGTCCTCGCTGTGACGTCACACTGACGACGAGCGTGTTTGTGGACCAGTGTGTGACAGCTCCAGGAGGAACGGGGTTTCCTGCACAGGCTGGATCTTCAGGGGTGACCGCATATAAGCCCGAAGGACCCGGGTCACATTTAAACGCCGTCTGTGCGGCTGCTCCTGCTGGCCAGCAGCAGAAACACAAGCAGGTTCGATGAATTACCTGCGTGTTACCTGCCTGCGCTCACTTCCTCTTTCAACTCTGCTGAGCGTTTGTCCTGAAACATGTTTAAACTTTATTTTGGCAACTTTGGAAAACAGATCCCAGAACAGGAGTCTGTGGTGTTAATGCGCAGGGTCTGAACTAAAGCGCTAGCACTAACAAGTCACACACGCGTGGCCCACGCCATGTTTACACACATCACAGGCTGAAGCGTGAGCTCGTGACCGGGGCCGTATCAGGACCCCGTGCCCCCCCACAGGTTTAGTTATTCATCAGGATGAGTGTGAGGCGTGCTCCGCTGTGCAGGCAAGTTTAGGTCAGCTCTGATCTGACTGCGTCTGCTGGTCACATGGTTATGAGCGATCAGCTGATTTTAGACGCAGGAATCTAAAGGAAGCGCTCCGTAGCTGAGCTTAGCACCCCCAGGACCCCGTCGGGGGGTAAACCTTCAGCTGATCTGCTGACCATCAGGTCAGCTGACCTCAGCGGGTCTGGCCCCGTCTGCCCCTCTCCCTCGGTGGACAGGAAACACGGCGGCTGTTTCAGGCTGCGCTCGGCCTCCTGCACGCTGACTCCAGTACCAGAGAAGATGGCGTTCTTACTCTCCAGCGACAGCGTGGGGCTCTTATCTCCAACTGTCTTCTTCTGCTCCTCAGACGGCGCCCCCTGCTGTTTGGGCAGGCTCTGCTGCTGGTGTAGGTACTGGTATAAGCGAATGTATGGGTGCTCAGTGGGGGTTGTTTGGCTCTTTGGTGTCTGAGTCTTACTGTCGAGCAGCGGGGCGCTGCGGTCGTTTACCACCGCCACCTTCTTCAGCTTGGCGCCTTTGCAGATGTCCGACAGCAGCGCGCCACGACCTTTGGCCTCCTCCTTGCTCAGCTTCGGGGGGCTGGTATTAGCCTTTTGAGAGATGGAGGTGGAGTTAAATAACCAGACTGTGACATGCTGCAAGTCTTCTCAGGCTCACAGGTTATGAATGAGAGAAAGCTCACCTGGCTGAAGGTGGGGGGAGGCGGGGGTCCCGGGGGTCCCCCAGGTGGAGGAGGAGGTGGAGGAGGGATGGGCATTCTGCAGCTGATACAACACACACCTGATCACCTGAAACACAGACACACAATCCGATCAATACCTTCCTGACGATGCTGTTCTTCTTTGTCTGCTCGTTCACACTACAAATAAAATGCGACAGCAAAGGCGCTCTAGTGTGAACACTCAACGCAGCATGCGCACAAGAAGACGTCACACACAACGCGCTCCGTTTAGACCAAACAAACAGTGTTTGACTGTTTCTGACTTTACGTTTCCCAGTTTTGCTTTAAGTTATAAAGTTATCTTGTTATTTGCATTTGTCCTAATAATGATCCTTATTGCTGTTTTAGAGCAGCGCTGCTTCTAGCTGCAGATTTCTGTCAGTCTGCAGATTATACAGAACAAATAAAATGTTCACGTTTCTCCAACATTGTCTTCCCAACAGTTTCACTGGATGGATTCAGCACCACATACGAAAGTGACCCAGATCGGATTTGAAAATATCGGATTTGCGCCGTTCACACTGTCAGACCATGATCGGATATGGGTCGCAGAGGGTCAGAAACGTCAGATTTGATGCGCTTTCGCCTGCAGTGTGAACGCAGCCTATGTGTCAGAGGTGAGCGGCTGCTCCTGTGATGGAGGCCTGAACCCTGAGGCTCCAACCTGGATTCACCTGGTGGCTTAAACCAGTTTTCTGTTGGTCAAACCTGAACTATTGAACAGCTTCTCTGCCTCCACTGGACCCCACCAGCCCGGGTCCGGGGGCGGGGGGGTTGGCTCCGGACTAACCAGCCCGGGTCTCTCTAGGATGCTGGGCTAACGATTCATCCTCCTCACCGCGCTCCCCTCCAGCTGTGTGCACAGTGACCAACATCTATCCGTGCAATCCTCCCCCCGCAGAGGCTGATCAGTATGCGGAGTTAGCTCCATCGCGAGCCCAATCTGCTAGCTCAGCGCTAGCATGCGCGTTAGCTTTGCGCACATTCGGACAGGTGAGGTGAATAAACGGTACCTGTGAGCGTCACCGCGTCTCTGTGGCCTAGCTCATGCTTCTCTCGGTTCGCTGGCTGCTTTCTCACTCCCGGAGTCTCCGCCGTGAGGACCGTAACTCCGCCGTTAGCCTCAGCTCTGCAGAGATTTCTTTATTTTTCTCTACAAGAACACGTGACCTGCTGCTGCACCTGCGCATGCTCACTAAAATAACGGCATTCTGCCATTCTTATTACACAATTACAAGTTTAAACCTATTTCCCTTTAATAAAGACAAATGAGCGCATTTATAAGATTATTGTTATTTTATTTTGTAGTGAAGGAGGACATGCAGAGGGTTAGAGGAGAAGGAGAAGCAGAGATTCGTTTTGATCTCTTTTAACATGAAGTTCTCGAAATCAAATGTTGTCTTGATCACGAGCGTTCAATCAGAATATTATGAGTTTATAATATCAAATAAAATGTATATCAAGTAAAATTTTAAAGAATCTCAAAAACAGCAATCATTTTCTCTATTCATAAAACACATTTAAACGTCTTTTTAAAATTCTTTCGGGTAAAGACTCTTGACCCTTTGTAAAAATGTAAAAGTTTAAATGTAATACACCAGTTTGTACACTCTGTTCTCACTCGACTCCATGTTTTACCTGAATGACCTGACGTGGCTCCTCCCCCTCTGCGTCAGGATTAGTTAAACCTGAAAAAATACGTTTTTAATGTTTAATATTTTGTTTCTTTCGAAGGCAAAAAAAATAAGATGTTTACTTTATAATAAACTTGTTAGTTATCGTAGCTACATTTTATTTTCACAAATGCAAATACAGTAACAAAAAGCCTAATTTTAAACATTACTATAATGATGTTTTATGTTACATAAAATTGATTCGTGGATCACTTAACAAAAAGGCTGTGAAAACTATTACTGTTTGTAGTAATTACAAATTATTTGAATGTATGTAATTCTTTGTATTACACCCCCTGGCATATGTTCATTTTGTTCTTGTTGTATAGTCAAAGGAGCTTGCAAAGAAAAGCGTCTGGACTTCTTTAAGTTGCTTGAAGACGTTTCACCT